TCTAAATTCGATATGAAATTTGGCTATTGGCAAATTCAGATTAATGAATCTGATAAGTATAAAACGGTCTTCACTGTGCCTTTTGGACATTTTGAGTGGAATGTCCTCCCGTTTGGGCTAAAGAACGCCCCTTCCGAATTTCAAAATATTATGAATGATATTTTTATTCCTTATACGGAATTTATAATTGTTTACATTGATGATGTTTTAGTTTTTTCTAAAACAATAGATCAACATATAAAACATTTAAAAATATTTAAGGGTTTAGTTAAGCATAATGGATTAGTTATATTCGCTCCTAAGATGAAAATATTTCAGATTAAAATTAGATTTTTAGGCCATGAAATTAATCAAGGAACTATTATTACTATTTAAAGAAGTATTGAATTTGCTTCTAAGTTTCTTGATATCATTACTGATAAAAAACAATTACAAAGATTTCTTGGTAGTCTTAATTATATTGTCGATTACTATGAGAATCTTGTCAATAATACTAGTATATTACATGCTAGGCTTAGAAAAAATCCTGGCCCTTGGACTGATAAACATTAGCAGTCCGAAGAATTAAAAATAAGGTTAAATGTTTGTCTTGCTTATCTCTGACTAATCCCAAGTATTTTAAAATCGTTGAAACTGACTTCAGACTTAGGATATGGAGGAATTCTAAAACAGGTTATACCTGAAACATCTAAAGAAGTTTTGGTTAGGCTTACCTCTGGTAAATGAAATCCTACTCAGACAAAATACTTGACTATAAAAAAATGCTTTCTATTATAAAATGTGTTTCGAAATTTCAAGATGATTTACTTAATAAAAAAAGTTTATTACAAATTGATTGCAGCTCTGTTAAATCAATTATTGAAAAAGATGTTAAAAATCTTGTTACAAAGCAAATATTTGCTAGCTGGCAATCTCAATTATCGATGTTTGAATTTGATATTAAATATATTAAAGGTGAAAATAATTCACTTGTTGATTACATCACCCGTGAATTTTTGCAGGGAAAAAATGACATTCCCATCTAGGGGAGGAAGAAGTCGCAGTTATGGACGAGGCATTGAAAGAGGGAGTAACAATATGTTACCCCAAAGTGAATTAAATATTACCCTTATAGGGGATTATACTACAACCTATAAAGATAGAAATATACAACAATTACCTACCTCAAAAAAGGAAGATATACCTTATTTTTCACCTTCTACAAAAATTATATCTTACAAAGAAATTACGGATAGTGACCCACCTCAAGAGCAAGTAACTGATTATTTTGAGAATCCAGTTACAGAAAAAATTATGTACAAATACCGGTACACATTTGTTCTCAAAATATAATTAAAATAAAATAATTTAAAAAATATATAATAAGTCGGTTTATATAATTCTTCTAATATATAAAAACATTTGAATGGATAATATATATTTTTTATATAAACATTATTTTTATTTTGGAATTATTATAAAAAATATTTAAACTGGTTGTAAAAGTTGTTCTATTAATATTCAATATTTTGATCAATAATTTCATATTCCCGTTAATATTTAATAATTTGATCAGTAACTTCATGTTCCCGTTAATGTTCAATATCTTGATCAGTAACTTAATATTTCTGTTAATATTCAATATTTTAATCAGTAACTTTATATTATCGTTAATATATATGATTGAGTCAAATATTTTTATATATTGAAAAAATTATAGACCAATTTATTATCTCTTTTAAAAAAAATTATTTTATTTTTATTATATTTTAGGAACAAATGCGTGTACCATACTAGTACCCGTGCAAACTAATTCAATATTGATCAACAATTTCATGTTTCCGTTAATATTCAATATTTTGATCAGTAACTTTATATTTCCGTTAATATTTAATATTTTGATGAGTAACTCCATGTTCCCGTTAATATTCAATATTTTTATCAGTAACTTCATATTCTCATTAATATTCAATATTTTTATAGTAACCCATTAATATTCAATATTTTTATCAATAATTTCATGTCCCTATTAATATTCAATATTCTGATCATTAACTAAATGTTCTCGTTAATATTTAATATTTTAATTAGTAACTAAAGATTCTCGTTAATATTCAATATTTTGATCAGTAATTTCATGTTCCCGTTAATATTCAATATTTTGATCATTAACTTCATGTTCCATTAATATTCAATATTTTGATCAATAAAATCATGTTCCTGTTAAAATTTAATTATTGAAATGATGTTTGAATCTCTATGTTTAAAAAAACATATTTTCCATTCTCAAGTATTGTTTGTTGACAACCAATAATCGATAGTATTAATATAATTAAGCAATCATAAAGTTTATAAAAGATGTAGTAATTGATTTAGTTTACACGGTACTGGTATGGTACACGCATTTGTTCCCAAAATATAATAAAAATAAAATGAATTTTTTTAAAAGAGATAATAAACCGGTGTCTATAATTCTTTCAATATATAAATATTATTTTTGTTTCGGAATTATTGTAAAAAATATTTAAACCAATAGTAAAGTTGTTCTATTATTATTTAATATTTTGATCATTAACTTCAAGTTTTCGTTATTATTCAATAGTTTTATCAATAATTTCATGTTTATGTTATTATTAAACATTTTGATTAGTAACTTCATGTTTTCGTTAATATTTAATATTTTAATCAGTAACTTCATATTCCCGTTAATATTCAATATTTTGATCAGTAATTTAATATTTCCATTAATATTCAATATTTTGATTAGTAACTTCATTTTCCCGTTAATATTCAATATTTTAATCAGTAACTTTATATTCACGTTAATATTCAATATTTTGATCAATAACTTCATATTTTCATTAATATTCAATATTTTGATCAGTAATTTAATATTTATGTTAATATTTAATATTTTGATCAGCAACTTCATGTTTCCGCTAATATTCAATAGTTTGATCAATAACTTCATGTTCCCGTTAATATTCAATATTTCAATTAGTAACTTCATGTTATCATTAATATTCAATAGTTAGATCAATAACTTCATGTTCTAGTTAATATTCAATATTTTGATCAGTAAGTTTATGTTATAGTTAATATTCAATATTTTGATCAGTAACTTCACGTTTTTGTTTATATTCAAAATTTTGATCATTAACTAAATGTTCCAATTAATATTTAATATTTTGATCAGTAACTTTATGTTATCTTAATATTCAATATTTTGATCAGTAACGTGTTCTCGTTAATATTTAATATTTTGATTAGTAACTTCATGTTGTCTTTTCTCACCCATCTTCTAATTGATCTAGCTACTACTTGCCAAATAATTAAGTGGTAACCAAAGAGACCCGAGATATGGTTTTATAGAATAAATATAATTAAAAAATTACTTTACAGAGGAATGTTTCCAGCCAAAGCAAGTATGGGCCTTATATGATGAGGATGATGGAATGTCGCGATTGTATTATCTGATCCGCGAGGTTATATTTGTTAATCCTTTTTAAAACAATATCAGTTACTTAAACTCCAAAACTGATATAAAGTTTAGCTCAGTAAACTGGCTTGAATCAGGTTTTACCAAATCTTACAAAAAATTTAGGACTTGGACTTCAGATATTGTCGACCAAGTCAACATATTTTCTCATGTTCTAAGCCACGAGTCGAGGTTGCTGTATATCCAAGAAATGGAGATATCTAGGTTGTTTATCGAAATTGGTCACCATATTGGAATCACTCTACACCTGACAAAGTAAGGCATGAATATGACATGGTGGAGTTGTTGTATGATTACTTTGAGGATCCTGATGTCTGTTACTCCCCTTATCAAGTTAGCTGGATTCAAAATAGTATACAAAAGGAATCCTGGCCAAAGCGTCGAAAGATGGATACCGAGAAGAGAAATGGTACACTTTTCTCATCAAGTTCCTTCTTGGTTGCTGAAAGGGGAGGAAAGCAAATTGCCGAATTGGTGTTTTGATCTTGATCCAGCTACAACTCTGGACGAGCTTCTTCATGCCGATTTAGAAGCAAAAGAAGCTTTGTAGGTAATAAATTGGTGTAAAACAATTACTTAGATTATTATGCTTTTAGCATTCATAATATTTTAGATATAATTATACACTGTCACACTTGGTTGTTACATACCAATGTGGTGTGAGATTAACCGAAGATGTTTTAGGAAAAGAGTCATATTTTAGTTTATATTTGTCTTAGACTTTAAGATCTAGTGATTGCTTGTTGCCACATGAGTTATAATTGTTGTTGTAAGAGACTTCACGACACATTCGCATTGTAACTATATTTCATACCAGTATTTTACGGGTAAAGAATTTATTCAATCAAAGGCTAAAACCAATTTTAAATCCAACAATTATATAGGTACCTGTTTAGTGTAAGTGTGTGCAAAAGCTTAAGCAGGGTTAGAGTTTTTATTTGTTGGTGTTAGAATTGAGTTATATCATTTCGTTCATAATAGTAGTGATAAATTTGAAAAATTATAATTATACTTAGATGTCAACCATGTATCACTATGAACAACAACTAATGATGAAATCAATATTTTTTTAATTAGATTACTCAACAGAAACAACAAAATTAGTTGTGCAAACATATTTTTATTTAAAATAATTAGATTAAAGTTTAAAGACTTTTATAAAATATATATAAGACAATTTTCAGTCTTAGAAAGTTCAACTTTACCTATGTTGTTTTGACTCTTATATAATCACACACTTACTCATTTTAAAATAAATCCCGTGTTCAATATTATATGAACTGTAGTCATCCATCCTCACACTACTCCATCATATAAAGCATATTACAAAGAAAATTTATCATGTATGAATCTATATAACAACCAAGAAATCAATAAATTCTAAATCTCACACCACCTAAACTCAAGAACCTCGATTTTATATATATTTTTTTACATATTTGTGTGTATATGTTCCCTTTTTCATCCCTTGAAACGAACTACAATGCAGGAAATATCATCTTTACTGTCTTGGTTCAACGCCTTAGTAGCTAGTTTGTTTAGCTGCCTTTTGTGGATCCTTTATTCTTTTCGCGATATCGATGATTTCTTTATTAGCCATTACCTGGACGAATCAATGGAAATTAAGGTACAAGTGTGAAGATTGAACTTTCTAATAATAAAAATTAAAAAGAGAGATGGATCGAAGACCTTCTATAGACCATCACTAGCGAGAATCAAAAGCTCAATATCTTGGTTAACATCAGCATACTGAATGTTGGGGTCAAATTGCAAGTGTGTTTTGGGGTTTTTGTCTCCAAATGCTCGAGAAACCGCAAGATGAGTGTTCACTCTTGCAACGTCTCGTGACATATATATATATATATATATATATATATATATATATATATATATATATATATATATATATATATATATATATATATATATATATATAGTGTGTGTGAGGATGGATGAGTATGATCAAATCCACATAACACCAACTATCAAGCCTTATTCCATTAAGCAGGAGCATTTCATGAATCAAACTATATCATAATGTAACAATTGAATCCATATTATGCAATTTTAGACACACAAATGGTATGGCACTAACCTTTTCAAGAGAAAGAGCATGTCCAAGATCAAGCTTAATGCCATCATTTATCATTGACTTGTACTTAAATGCCAAATCTTGATTATTTTTCACTATAGCTTCCACAATCTCTTTACTCTTCTTCATCAATTAACCCTCCTCAATAACATGGTTCACCAAACCCAACTTTTCATCCACCTCTGCATTCAAAGGTGTGGTCGTAAGAGAAACCTCTCAGGCTTTATTTACTTCTATTATACGGGAAAACTTTTGTGACAAATCCCACGATGGGAATATCCCAAATTTGCATGTAACAAATAACACCGATAAATAATCTAAAAAAAGTATGAAAAATCAAAACTAAAAATTATAAAGTGTTTCGAAAAGGTCAAAATAGACGCACATTGAGTAAGAGTAATTTATACTTATATTGTTACTCTTTATTGAGATAATCACTTTCTAAGTGATATTATATAACAATTCAATTTAATCTTCTTCTTGTCATTTGAGATATAATAAAAAAATGCATTTAACTTGATCTAATGGGAAAGAATGTTGCAGCTATCTTTGTCACTAAAAAAACATGTTGGCATTCACTATTCTAATGATTATCATCCTTAGCTAGTAGACCTGTGAAATTTGGTTACCCACTTGCATCTAAATCAACACCAACATCAACATCAACGTCAGTCTCATCTATAATTTTGGCTTTAATTTCAGCATATGCTTCCAATGCTAAGACTCTAACTCAATCTGATGCTAATAATGGTGGCGCATTATTTGTACCTTTCAAATGTGCTAAATCAATCTATCCGTCACTTGATTACAACAATGAAACATCGTCTCAAAATTTATCAGTTACCTACTTTCATGGTGTAGTCTGGAACTTTCATCACATGTACACTGGGACACCCAAGCGGAACCTAATCACCCATGGATGGAGTTCGTTTGCTGACTATAAGAGATTAATCAATGGAAAAATACTGTTGTTTTTGTTAAAGATTTAGTCGGAAATATCACCATTGGACTTCGCAAGAAAAATAGGTTTATTGTAACCGATAACATAACAGTAAAGGCAGTTTCTGATGGGTCTACCCACTTGGAACCAATCGGAGTTTGTGATAAGTGTCGCATTAGCTTTTACTTAATTTATCTCAACTTGATGCTTGGAATTTTCGGCCCTGACTTCTGAAATTGACATCAACTTACTCTAGAAAACACAAAAGGCAAACACCAATTCTGCATCTTTTTGAAGCCAATAACATTCATCAAATGATTAACATAAAGAAACAACATAAAAACACATCAATATTGAAACATTTTCCAACATTGAAATAGCATAAAAAAGAGACTTTGTTGATGAAACTTTCATTTTCTTATCAACGGTCAATTTAGGATGAAAACAGTCTCAAGTATGTTCCATTGCCCATCAACTATATACATAACTGAAATCTATAAACACAACCAAACATAAACAATTAGAATAACAAATCAATTAGGGCTTAAATATATATAAAAAAAAAAGAATTACCGTGAATTTGACGTTCAATGTTTCGAGAATACATTAATGAATTCAACCAATTTCGAAGCAGATCCTAAACCACCACCAAAGTTCACAAATGCACCTTACTAATTTAATTTCTTCTCAACATGGCAAGGTCTCTTCTTGTTTCCAATCTTCATCACAATCTTCTTCTATATTCAATGAGTAAACTGGTATTAAATTTTCATTACAACCTTCCCCGTCTCAACATGATATGAAATTAAAATATTAAATATCAATAAAAAATAACCATTAACTAAAAATAAATAATCTCAAAAAATAAGTAAACTGGTATCCAACATAACAGTAACAAATGCGGTCCAACCACACCGATGCAAAAAAATTCTGATGCGAACGAACTGCTCTAACATAACAGTAGCATATAGGTAATAGACCAAATAATGTATGGTTGGACAGTTCATATTTCAAGTTTGGTATTTCAGAACTCTTAAAATTAAAAACAAAAATTATATGCTTTCAACACTGTCTGATCTCAATCCAACAATTATTGATGTACTCGGTCTAAATTTGTGACCAATCCAAATCCAAATCTAACAATTTATTTAGGTATCAAACATAGTATTGTAAAACTCACTTGACAACATTTGTTATAACTTTGTAAGGGTCCGATCCATCCCCCATAAACACCAAATAAGTCCCATCAAATTCTTCTACATTAGGACATCCTTCAAACACCATGCATGACATAGATAAAAACAAAACATTAGTATTTGCATATTGTAAATCCTACTTCACTCGAAAAATTAGTCTATGTAGTTTCACATAAAGAATATCCAAACTATATTTAAAATGACATCAACAAATTTATGATACTATATTGTTCCATCTCTACCTTTTACCTGCATAATAACACAGACAAGTCTTTAATGACAATCATGTACTCTTAACAAACTGAAATTGCAACAAAGTAGGGGGATAAGAGAGAACACCCGCACAAAATATCATCAACAATTCAAATTGACATATTCAGATTTCTAAGTTATGGCGATGGAACAAATTGAGACATACTTGCTGGAAAAAAATGACTCAACACTTTTCTTAACTTGAAATCAACAATTAAATTCAATAAACTGTCAACAACAAAGAAAAAAGTCGATCGATGATTGTGTGTGAGGAATATCATATGGAAGTTGAAAGGATGTAGGTTTATAATATATCACACACATGATTACGGGAAGGGAGGTTGCAAGATTAATGGGATGATGAAACTGTTTATTAATGTGAAATAAGGAGAGTAAAACGTTTCTAAAACCATTCAATTTGATTGGGTAACTGCCGCAGAAGAAAGGAAGTGGAAGAAAGTGGAAAAAATAAATGAGGAGAAATTGGGAAAAAAAGAGAAGTGTGTTGTGAAGAAGCCTGACAGACTGTGGTGTTCTCTCAAGAAACCATGTGTCGAAGCCAGAGGTAGTGAAGAGGAATTATAGACTTTTTTAATATTGTAGATTTCACAAAACAAAATCTGAAACGTTTAGATAGATAGATTATTATTTATAATAAATAGTGAAAAATAATGTTTATAAATTACTCAATTATAATTTTTTCAGTTACAAATCTAAAAATTAAACCTATAGAATTTTTAAAATCAAAGAGTTTTAATATCTAATATGACAATTATAATTATATATTAATAAATACTTTATTAACTTATAATATGTTTTTTAATAATATAATTGTTTATAATAATACAATTGCAATCTATATATTGTGTCTCTTTTTAAAATAAAAAATTGTATTAAATCATTATTAATGAATTGAAAACTACACCATATTATAATAATTTCACACGTTATGTTTTTTATGCAAATTAATCAGTTTATGATATTTGTACATAGACTTCATTACTAAAATAAATATTTTAGTCATTTACTAAAGTTTTATTTAAAATTTTCTTTTTAAAATTTAGTAATATATTAACTATAATTAAAACTATTATTAAAATATAATAAATTATATTAAAATTTTAATTTATCAAAAATTTTTACTATTTTTTATGATCAAACGGTATCATTTATACTAAAAAAGTTATAAATATCTTTATATGATAAAAGAACCTGAGACAATTATGATAGAAACACATATAAATTTATTATAAAAAATATAAATTTGTCATTCTTTTTACATTTCTACAATTATATATTATCATTTTATTTAATTAGGACACATTACATAAAGTTTTATCACCGCATCAAAAATAAGTTTTGTCTATTTATGAAAATGTAAAAAATAATATACATTAATTGTAATGATTTTAATTATTATAATAATATATATTAAACATAGAAACTTTTAAGTATTTGACGAAAGCTGTCATACATTTTAGGTTTTGAAAAATGAGTTAATATCTCAAATATGTTTAATAAATTTTATTCTCTAACTATGTTTAATTTCTTAATTAAAATTATATTTTTTTAAACTTATTAATTATATTTTCTATATTATAATAATATACATTAAATATATAAAATTTTAATCATTTGACGAGAGTTGTCGTACATTTTAGATTTTAAAAAATAGACTAATATCTGAAACAGGTTTAATAAATTTTATTCTCTAACTATGTTTAATTTGTTAATTAAAACTATATTTTTTTAAACTTATAAAATATATTTTTTATATTAATAATATAGATTAAATGTAGAAACTTTTGATCAGAGAGCGGTATACATTTTAGGTTTGAGAAAATCGACTAATATCTCAAAAATATTTAATAAATTTTTAGAATTAACTCATTTGAATTCAACTGGAGTTTGTTATCTCATCTAAATTGACAAGTATATATAATCGTATCTATGAGATACCAACTATTTTAATATCTATCTTTTAACTATTTATTTTGTTGTTGTTTTATAAAATTAAAGTTATAAAAATAATTGTACAATTTATTAAAATTTGATAAATTATTATAAGTTATAATTATATTAATGTTATCCATCTGAAAATATAATATCATAATTAACAATTTAATCATGAAAAATACTTATTAATGAGAAAATATAAAAGCAAGGAAGACAAAAATTAAATCTTAATCATTCATTAATATAATATAAGTATCTCACGATACTTCTCCGTTAAGTCAGTAGGCAACTGCATGATGATCTACGAGAATGAGAATGTGAGGGCCTTTTTCAAAACTCTGTCCCTTTCAAAATCCATTGTTCCGTGTCCTATTATTAATATTATTATTATTATCCGTATCAAAACAAATGAAGCGCGTAGCGTTTGCTTTCTCTTTTTTTCACTATCATCCCCTTTGCACGTTACGCCACTCTTAACTTTCTTCATATTTAAATTTCTTTGAAATATGTGATTGCCTTCCTTTCTGGTAAGTGCATTTGAATTGATAAAAGGCACTAAACATGGGAATATGCAGTCCATCACTTAACCTCTTCAATTTTTATATTTTTTAATTTCTAAGGGGAAAAATAATCTCACACCACAAATTTTAAAAGACTTTGACTATGTATTTTTTAACTCTTGAGAATTAGGATATGATTCTGAATCTGCTAAGAATATTTAAGTCTTAGAATTGTATTTTCAAATTTTTAATATTATATTATATTCTTCTTATTTAGTGTATGTTTGGTCTTATTTTTGAGGAGTAAAAAATAATTTTAAAATGTAGAATTTTTTTGGAATTAATTTTAAAGTGTTTATTTCTTCTAAAGTAAAATTAATTTTATCTTTAAAATTGATTTTATTTGAAGATACAATTTGTAATTTTTAAATTTAAACGTGATTTTTATATTAAAATTTATTATTTAATTCACTTTTATATAAATATATATAAATACAAATTACTTTACATCAAACTCACTTTTCATCAAAATCAATTCACTTCTAATCAATTATTTTCACCTCCAGAACCACACATACACTTGGTATGCGATTTTTGCAGTTAAACTTTTTCATTACAAAAAAATAAAAGAAGAGCGTCGACTGTATGCATACAAATATTAAATAAATATATACAATAACAATGAATACATCTTTCTCACTGAATAACAAATAATTCTCTTTGAAATTAGTTCGTGTTTTTATAAGTAGATTCGACGCATAAATAAAAATGAGAAGTTGTTGTTGGGTGGATAAGAGTGTATAAAATGGTTTGGAATAAAAGTTTTTTTTTTTTTAATTCATATATTTGATCCTGATTCTATGAAAGATTAATTTAAGGGAGATCAATATTATTGTTCACTTGCGAGAGTTTTATTTAAAACTAAAGAAAAGTTTTGTACGGATTATTCAAACACATAAATTGTTAGTATCTAACGAGATTTGAATTTGAGACTAAGATAAATACATTCTTAAAACTCAAGTCTTGTCCATTAGTTGAAATAAAAATATAATGAAGATGAGAGATGAATACGCTAAATAAGCAAATTCAACTTACACAATTTGTTTAAATTGAACTTTATTAATTGAGATGAAAATCTAATATTACAAGTTTTAGATATATAATCACTAGAAAAATTGTTTGACAGACATAATTTATTACAGACATATGCATATTACATAAACTCACTATAAACGATAAACCTAACTCATACTATGCTAAAAAGCAGATAAACCCTAAAATCATACAGATCTATAAAATAATTTACAAATAAATGGATAGATAAAAGGGCATCAATATTTATAATAGTCTAGCGCATTCATCCTCACATGCACTTAATATAATATCCGATGGCAAACCATTGAAAATTCATTAGTCTTCCACTATATGAAAATTCCACAACAAGTCCTTAATACAATAAGATAATCTTAAATCTGAAACTCAAACTTTACAAGGCATTAGCAGCAGATTTTACAAAAAATGTGTTTGGATTAATTTCACGATTTACACTATAGTCATAAAATATAACGAAGATCAGAGATGAAAACGTTAAATAAGCAATGCATCAATTAATCAAATCCAACTTACATAATATATTTAAATTGAACTTTACTAATTGTGATAGAAATATAATGTTCTGAGTTGGGCTGACACTTGGTCCACCA